CATGTTTAGCGTAGATCAGTCTAGGGGACTTAATTTAATGTGGAAGGTACTGTTCATTCGACAACATACAATTCATCTTGTGTAAAAAAAAAGGATTTTGCGTTTTGTTTATTAACATACTAGGGTAAGGTTAGTCATTCATTGGATTAGCAAATTATATTCGGGAAGAATTGTACTATAGAACAAAAACTTTTTTTATCATGGTGGGTTGAATCATTTGTCAATCTTTAATTCACACGTAGGCAAAATGATATTCCTAAATAATCACCTTAATTTTCTCATAAGGAGTTTTTATCAATGTACCTTAGTTGTTTATATCCTGGTTTACAATAGACCTGTCCAGTATGATATGGATATAATAAAATTACAGTTGCCTTGGGTTGATTTGTGGATGATAAGAACGATAAAATTATTCTTGGCAGTACATGTTTTGTAATATATTAATGGCGGTGTTTTGTACGGCGTCAGAATGGACAGTAACTTTACCAACAACATCAAATTAAAAGTCTAAATAAGGCTGCAACAATATAATTCCAATAGCATGCCACAACACAAAAGAAATGTTATTGGAGTTAAAGAATACAATATGTTCAGTTCAACCTCAAGGTGCATGAGTTGTGTTATTGTTAAAATAAAATGCATGAAAATCGGGTCATCTATTTTTAAGTTTTTTAATGGCTGACCTTAACTTGCTTTTTACATGTTCATTCATTATCCTGTTTTATATAATTCAATTGTTTTGATGTCAAATAATTATGTAACTAATTATTACATGACACTAATCAACCCACATATTAATATGTTATCCAAAGAGGAAGTCTACCCTAGTTTGTGTACAAAGATGACAAAGAATCTCACAAAATTAACCCAAATTTTGAACTGTAACTGTGAAGTCAGCAACTGGTAATTCCAGTGGCAAGCTCATTAAAAATTGGTAAATGAAGAGAGAAAAAAGTTAATTGTGTGTATTAAATATTTTCTTTGAGTTCCAGACATGTCATTGACCAGTCAAAACAAAATCAATTTCTGCACATAGGCTACTTTATTGAAATTTTTGGCTTTTTGCAGTCTAGTGTTTTTTTTTTTTTTTTTTTTTTTTTTTTTTTTTACTAGGGAGTAAATGTGGCAACTTCTATAGGATTGAACCTCTCCCTTCATAAACTGTTAATGTTCTGTCAATCTAAAGGCCACTCGTGTGAACATGAACAAACATTCATTGACTTTTTCACAATACAAATATTCAACTCGGTGCTGCAAGGGAGAGCTGTTTGGTGACATGAACGATGTTTCAGATACCACAGCTACTGTGTGGGGCTGAGGAGGGTGCCGGCTGGATCTTGGACTTGTGAACTCTGTACCACCAGTGAAGGTAATGTTGATAACACACATGTTAGAGATGTTATTGGTGCAATTACAGAGATGGAATGGAATCGCTAACTTTAAATTCAGTAAACAAAAAATATCCATATTTACATACTGTTAGTCATCATTATGTATTGATAATTACTCTGTTGTTAAGTATAACTTTTTTACCTTTATACTTATTAACTAATTTAATCTCCTTATGGCCCTTGTTCATTGTTCAGTTAAAATATTCTTCTCCTAAATTCTGTTTTGTTAGTGTGCCATCTGGAGTGAGAACAAGTAGTGGGCAAAGTACAATGATAAGAAATAAGCTCTTTTGTTTACTAATTCAGTGAAATAAATGCCACTTTGTTTAACAACTGTAGACAAATCAGTTTCTAACGGTGATGGTTAAAACCAGAAATTTTGAATCTTTATATGTAATTGTAAAGACAACACTTTTTCTCCTTACCTTAAAAAAATACAGGTAAAAACTTTTTTTAATCAAAAATGGAAAATTATAATTCTTGTCCATGACATGATAACATGAATATGTGACTTGTACAGTATAAAACTAAAACATAATTTGTTAACAAACAACAGAAAAATTTAACATCTGACACTTACATGAAAATCATAAACAATATTAATCAACCAAATATTCAAACCAAAACCTTTCCTGTAACATTCTTCAACATGACATTAGACATTAGACATTAGACATTAGACATTATTTATTTGCACATAACATTCTTTTAGATGTGATAACATATAGAACAGGTGCATTGTCAAAATTGAGCCTAGACTAGAAAAATACAAAGTACAAAGTAACAGGAAAAAATACCTAGCCAAATAATGTTAATACAGTACTGTAGTTAAGCAAATTAAAAACAAAAAATTAACTCAAGGGATGGTTATAAAATTCTTCTATTTTATAAAACGCACGTTCAAGGAGTCCATTTTTCAATGTTTCTTGAAACTTGTTTGAACTCATTATTTTATAATATACCGGTAGTTTATTATACATTTTTAAACCTGCATACAAAGGACTTTTTTCAAATAAGGTCAAACGGTGATTTGGTAATCTGAAAATTGTTTCGTTTCTTGTACTATAGTTGTGTGTGAATTTGAATGAATCCGGGAGGTTATTTTTTATATTGTGTATGTAGTTTAATAATTCAAATATGTATAGTCCTGTGAGTGTTTGGATTTTTAAATTTTGAAAATGTAATTTACAAGGACTTCTGGGGTGTTAATTAGTCATAATTCGGATGATTCTTTTCTGAAGTCTGAAAATAGTTTTTGCATCAGTTGCCTGTCCCCACAAAATCACACCATACCTCAAGATGGATTCTACATAGGCATGATAAACCATTTTAAGTACTTCAATGGTGACACATTCTCTCAAGTGGACAAAGACAGATGATGCAGATCTAATTTTTTTCTTTATAGCATCTAGATGCACCTTCCAGTTAATATTTTCATCTAGATGAATGCCTAGGAATTTATTTGTATGGACTAAATTGAAAAAACTATTTAATTCTCTTTCATTTCTGGCTGAACATTTTATAATTTGGGTTTTATCCACATTTAGTTTAAGGCCATTTATTTTAAACCAATTTTCCATTTCTTTCATAACTTCTGTGAGAGATGTAAGAAGCTCTTCTCTATTATTTTCTTTAATGATTGCAGTAGTATCGTCAGCAAACAGAATCAAATCTCTATTAATAGCTTTAAATCAGCATCAGCTAGGATCATGCTACAGCTTGTAGAAATACAGTTCCTAACATCACCTTTTTGTAGATTATATTTAACTAGCTGTACCCGCGGGCTTTGCCCCGTTTTACTTCATAAGTGACCTCGTTCGCATGGCTAAATCACGTCCTGGTTGAAGTTCGTTCGCTACGCTCACTCACCTTTAGAGTGGAGTTCGTTCGCTGCGCTCACTTGCCTTCAGGTTAGCTCGTTCGCTACGCTAACTCGCCTCCAGGTTGAAGTTTGTTCGTTACGCTCACTCAGCTGTACCCGCGGGCTTTGCCCCGTTTTACTTCATAAGTGAGCTCGTTCGCATGGCTCAATCATGTCCTGGTTGAAGTTCGTTCGCTACGCTCACTCACCTTTAGGTTGGAGCTCGTTCGCTGCGCTCACTTGCCTTCAGGTTAGCTCGTTCGCTATGCTAACTCGCCTCCAGGATGAAGTTCGTTCGCTACGCTCACTCACCTTTAAAAAAAGAAGAAAAAAAGATTTAAAAAAATAATAATAGTGCTCCACCCTGTTGGTAATCCTTGTAAGTTTTTAATGCTTTTGCATATCATAGAATCAACTTTTTAGTTGAAACAGCTGACTAAATTATTTAATCCCCTTTTAATATGAATACTCATAAGGTTAACATGGGGAACTATAGAGCCACTGGGGCGGAGCCCGAAAGGATTTTTGAGATAAGAATATGCCTATATGTTAATCGGGAATGTGAGTTATCATCATGCCAAATTTCAGCAAAATCCGTCCAGTGGTTAATGTGTTCACTTGTCACAAACATACATCCATACATACATCCAAACTTTCTCATTTATAATATTAGTAGGATTAAGGAAAGCTAAACTGCTTTTTTGGGTCTTAATAGTTATGGCCGGCTAACGAGCATCATTGTGTTTTTTTAATTTGTTGTCTTATACTCATTGATTTAATGACTAACACAACACTTTTAGTTTTGACAAACATTTGTTGTAGTTTTTGGGTCTCTTTCACTCATTTTAATTGCTTTGTTTTTGTTCCAGGGGCCTCTTAACAAGAATTAAAACCCTCTCATCCAAAGATTCCTCTTGTATGCATTTTAATAAGTTGGTCTTATTAGTTAGAAATAGATAATTACTAAAGCTTTTTCAATTGTGAATGTCTATATCATATTGTTTGTGAGAATTGGTCTATATATTTATTTGACTGTCTATGTAGTTTATTCTTAGTATGACAAATTTTATTTGGTATGCATTGTAAATAATTATAATATAAGTTTTTTATTGCACTAAGTATTTATAAAAGTCAATGTTTTATAATTTGTGCTTTTTTTTTGCTCCCACCTATTTCTGTTAGAGTGAACAAAAACATCAATGGTTAATTATTTAGAAAAAAAAATTGACTTGGAAACTACGGCATAGGGTGTTTAAAAAGTTAAAAGCAAACAAGCCCAAAGAAATTAGCTCCTTTAGTAATGTTGCTGCCTAAGAAACCTCTGGAATATTTTAAGGTATGGATATATTTTAAAATTGTGTGTATTGTGGGTAATTTGCAATTTCAACTATTTGGCTGATTTCGCTAACATTTTTAAGTACTGTACAGTTTCTACGAGTTGAATGCTTTTGATAAAACTGTGGTTCAAGTTATGCTTGATGAAGTCATAGCACATAGCGCTAGATTAAAAATAATGGGTTCTTTAGCAATATGGTGTTTATAGACATTAGGCATATATTTTTTCAAATCAAAAATTTAAAGTTGAACGACACAGCTTGTGTTCCAACACCGTTTTTACTAGGAATTTAAAATGAATATGACCCACTTTTAAGATGTTTTCTAATCTGACTTTTACTATCTTAAAAATCACTGTAAATAATCTGGCATGATGTTGGAGTACCTGATATTGCAAAGCACTGATACTTGAACCTAACTAACTCTCATGTAAACAAGACCTAATTTTTATTGCAATAGTTTTTAACTTTTCTTTTCACTATAATTATTTTAATACCTTTAAAAAATGAACAATATTTTTCTTTTAATTATCTGTTTATTGGCATCTTCCCCTTCAGTCAAAAGTGGTACTGAAGATGAGTTTCTGAAAGCTTTTCAAAAAGGCCTCGGTAAGTAATGGAATACAATGATTATTGACTTTAAAACGAAGTTTATGTTACGGTAGAAACTACAGATGGTTTATTCAGTCATGTGGTAGGTGTGAATCTAAGCCAAATAATTCAGGGATTTATATCTTAACTAGATGTACCCGCGGGCTTCGCCCCGTTTAACTTCATAAGTATTCGCATGGCTCATTCACGTCCTGGTTGAAGTTCGTTCGGACTCCCTCTTATCCGGACTCTTTGGAACCAAGGCCAGTCCGGATAACGGGTTTTCCGGTTAAACCGACGTCCCCAAAAACTCGTTAAAACAGACTGTTTACTGTGATATTCGACTTAAATTTAGAAGAGCACCGTATTTAGACGCGTGATCACTGGTCTCGAATCTTTCCCACGAGAACAGTCGTTTCAGTACTGCCCACTTCCTGCTGATCTAGTCTGGTTAAACCAATGTGCTGATAAAAATTGTCCGGTTAAAGAGATGTCATTTCCGCTGAGTGTAGTCGGGTTAAACCGATGTCTGGTTAAAAGGTGTCCGGACAAGAGGGAGTCTACTGTATTAATGTGGACAGGACACACGCAAAAAAAACATTTTTTCAGAACGTTAAGTTTGAATTATTTACATTCAACGTTTCTTTGAAGATACTCATGTTAGTGATAATTTTTTATGTAAAAATTGTTATTTTTATGTCTCTATTATGTATTCATTTTTTTAAACCCATAATAAATGTCATTGTTCTGGACAACTCGACAACCTCTGCGTCCACAAATTGTCAAGTAAGTGAGGTTTTACTGTCACATTATTAAGAACTAGGCAATAAAAGATGTTTAAATTTATGTTATAAACTACACAATTTATAGCAATTCAATAGAAAACTTTGAGGGGATATTATGGGGTGTAAGCCAACTTATCTGCTGTACTTAGGGTTTCTCATTTTTCAAAGACAAGTGTGTCACAAGAAATATTTACATATACATTACACATTGATACAGGGATAAACATACATAATTAGGCCACGCAAATAAAACTTACGTCCAGACATTGAACCAAGTGCAATGAAAGTGACAACCAAGACTCCATCAATGTAGAATTTCTTAGCTTGTTTTTAGATTTGAAGATAAATCAATAATGCTCCAAAACCACACGTCTATTAAATATTGGACCGATGAAGGCCAAATGAGTGTAACCTATAATTATTACTATTTCTAAAATTTTATTTTCAGAAAAATCCATTAAAAGCTACATAAGAAATAATCTTGAAATACTTTCACAAATACTGAAGAAGCCGTCAGTAGTGGAAACGCCAACTTATCCTAAACAACTTACTCCACAAGTTATTGACAAAGCATTGTTAAATTTAAAACGTGCTTTACCAGAAACAATCCCGATGTTTCCTTTTGCTGTTGCGGAACCAATAACTTCTGTGGATATTTTGTAAGTTATACAATTATTTTATTTCCTATACTACTTGGTGTTTTACCTAAACATAGTGAAATAAAGCATTTTTTCTTCTAATATGTTAACTAAAATCTCATTATGATATTATTTTTTATGTTAGATCTAAAAAAACCCCCTGTAAATTAAAATTAGTTCTTACTGCTACTATGAATGTGTTTGGTTTTTATAAAATGTATAACACTTTTAATCAAGTTTTAAAAAGGTCTAATAAAAAATCTTATCAACATACAAAAATCATGAAATTAAATCGCTTTTCCAGTTGAATAATGTAAAGCACAGGTTTTCCGTTTGAAAAAGCAAAAGATTTAATATGCAACTTAAAAGAAACCATGTTTTCTTGAGCTTCTTGTACACTAGAAAAGTCCTACCATAAAAACAACCTATGGTGTATCTTTTAATGAGCTTTTCAACAAATAACGCTAGAGCAACCTTGTCAGGTAGAATCAAAAACTCCGATCCAAGCATTTTCTCCTTGAAGAGAACGTTTACAGTATATTGATTGTAATAATTGATGATTACGATGGAGTCGAATATACAGATTTACTCCAAAACCTGTTACAGACAAATATTTTTTTAATCCATCTACGTTGATAGGGTTTGGTAAATGCAGTATCTTTGCACTTCATTTTAAAACCAAAACAATTTTAATTTTACTATTATTTGTCATTCCAGGTTCTTTTTCGGCATATTGAACAGTAGATTTAAAAATCTAACAGATTTTATATGTAGCTCCCAAGTAGAAAATAGTGTCTCCACATCTTCCATAGGTGTCAATTTCCATATAAACAGCAGCAGCTTGGAGGGACACTATGAGCTGGATGTGAGCAACTACGACATGCATTTGTATGGTGATGGTGATTACAGGTTAGAACATTCAATCTTCATTTATCTGTTGCGTTTCAAGGTTAGATTGAAACTTATCCTTTTCGGACCCATCCCTAATATGTGATCTTTTTGTTAGGTTAAAGGACCTTTTCCATTCACATCACTATCACTAGTGGAATATAATTAGGTTAGGTTAAATTTTTCCAACTCTATACTAACCTAACCTAACTAAAGTTTAATTCATTACGTACCACATCTATTGCTCTAAAACTAGTAGTAGTGAATTGACGGAAAAGGACCTGAAAAAAATGTTTATTTCTTTTTAGGTAAATAAAAATTATATGTAGTTTGTCATTGACTATGGACAGGTGATGACAGTTTGAAGGTGTGAATTCATTTCTGTCTGTTATATATAGAGTACTAGCAGAGTACCCGTCCTTCGTACGGAGTTTATTTATTTATTTATTTATTGAGTTACATGTCATTACATTATAATAACAGGACATATTGTCAATGGTTAAATAAAGACTTAAAACTAATAGATAAAACTAATACATCTGTATTTACATAAAACAACCGAATCTTCCCAAAATACAACATTGTTACATGTCAAAAAAAAAATTGAGCCAGCAGGAGTGTGAAGGTTTACTTATACCTAACTAGCTGTAACCCGCGGGCTTTGCCCCGTTTAACTTCTTAATTTTCAAGATGATCTCGTTCGCATGGCTCAATCACGTCCTGGTTGAAGTTCGTTCGCTACGCTCACTCACCTTTAGGTTGGAGCTCGTTCGCTGCGCTCACTTGCCTTCAGGTTAGCTCGTTCGATACGCTCACTCGCCTCGAGGTTGAAGTTCGTTCGCTACGCTCACTCACCTTTTGGTTACAAATTAGCTGTTGTCATAAATGTAAAAGAAATAATGGTGCTGCACCCTGTTGGTAATCCTTGTAACTTTAATGCTATTGAACATCATAGAACAGAACCAACTTGTTTAATTGAAACAGCTGTTAAGATTCATTAATTCCATTTAAATATAAGTACTCATAAGATTAACATGGGAAACTCCAGAGCCACTGGGGCGGAGCCCGAGAGTCCGATCAGAATAAAAACAACTTAGTTTTCCTATTTAATGCCTAAAGAATCAGTGTACCAAATTTCAGCCTCCTAGGTAAATGGGAAGTGGGAGAATTAGTGATGAGTGAGTGAGTGAGTGAGTGAGTCAGTGAGGGCTTTGCCTTTTATATATATAGATTCCAGCAGTCCTTAAAATAATCTGCCAATGAAAAAAAAGATTTAGTCTTGAGCCATTCTTTTAAATAAAGTCTAAACTTATAGGGATTTTCTAGAGTAATTAAACTTGTTGGTAAGTTATTTAAGATTTTTGGACCAATGTATTGTGGTGATGACTCGAATATTTGTAAATTATGAGCTACAGGTTTGATAATATTCTTTTTTCTTGTATTGTAATTATGTTGAGTTTGGGTCTCCATAAAAGTAGAGAGGTTTCTATGGACCCAGCATGCTATTTCCAAAATATAGTGATCGTAAAAAGTAAGAACTTTAAAGTTTTGAAACAGTTTTTTACTAGGGGTTCTAGAGGGAACTTTGCCAATAATTCGTTGGCATATAAGTATAAAATGCTTATTGCAGTTATACTCAATAGGCGCCTTAAAATAAGAAAATAAATAGCAAAACCTAGAAATAATTAGAACACAGATGAAACCATTGTTGTTCGATAGTGAAAAGTATTGTGAATAACATATCAAAAGTCTCCAAAAATATCTTTGGTGGAACACCACCATTTTTCCAAAATTGCGGCCAAATCCAGTAGTTTTTTGTTTTTTATTGAAATTCTGACTTTCCAGTCAATATTGGTGAAAAGTTGTCAATACATTTAATGTTCCTCCTGAAATTACCTTTAAAATGATACCAAATACATGTACCTACAACAAAAAATAAACCCCGTAGAAATAATAAAATATTTCAAATAAAAATATTTGTTATAAATTAATGTAATAGTCCTTAAGCAAACTAAAAATAACGTACACAGGTATCGTATAAAAATTTGCAAGTAAACATTTTATGGTTTTATTTTTATTGTTGTGGTGTGCAGAGTGACATACCAAAAGTTGCCAAAAATTAGTCCACCGGAAACCCCTAAATTAAGGAAAAAATGGCGGCTTATCCCAATATTGGACAAATTTTGCAAAAAAAAGATATCACATGTTTTTTGCACATTTTTCGAGATATTGACTTGGAACCACGACCGATATTTTTTTGGATGGTCCGTACTTAATTTCAATAGGGGACAACAGAATTAGGGCCGCCATCTTGGATCAGCCATATTGGATCTGCCATATTGGATATAAATATTTTTAAATGTAATTATAGTGTGACACATCATTATGAACTAGATTTCCACGCTGATTTCAATGCTGAAATCAGTTTTTAAATGGCGTTTTACGATTTTAAGATATATAAAAACGAAAACTCTCCCCCATACATTTCTTATGGACGTTTCGTACTTTGACAATTTAAAAACACATTGAAAACTACCACAGCCTAAGATTGTACCATCAGGTTCAAGTATGGCGTGGAAATAGTTCACCAGCAGATCCAACAGATTGGGAGTGGTGTTGACTGATGGTACCTATGACTAACTTACTTATAAATAACTGTACTTATAAATAACTGTAACTGTGTAACTTGGAAATTATATTTATATAAACATAGGATATGGCCTTTAAAAAATTTCAACAAACGTTTTATGGTTTTATTTTGTAGTGTTGTGCAGAGTGAAAAGGAGAAAAACTCGCCATAGCTATTCGTTCAAGTATTGACATTTATTTTAGCTATGGATTCCTTATTGGGAGTTATTTAGAATTGGGGATAAATGTCTTTAACTAAAGACAAATTTCAAAATAACAATAATTCATTCAATAGTTCATTGAAGGTAGGCCTACATGATTCGTTTTAAATTTGTCATGTGTCATTTAATAATCAATAAAATTAAAGCCAAACATTTACTGAGTATACTTTGATACCAGAACGAACTTGTTAACATATTAACAACCAGAGATATAAATCTTTTAACAGAAACTGATAAAAAAAGTTAAATTTAATTTTGTGTTGGGGTTTGTGCCTCGTCTACAACTAGTCTGTTTGAACTATAAATAAAACAAAATGAAAGCTAACTAAAATGACAGCTCTTTTATCACTGAATATTTTAAGGCTAGAACGAACTGCAAGCATTAATAATACCTGGAGAAGAATAATCCAAACACATTTTCAAAGTACGATACGTCCATAAGTGATGTATAGGGGGAGTTTTCGTTTTAATATATCTTAAGCAACGAAAAACCCTATTTAAAAACGGATTTCAGCATTGAAATCAGCGTGGAAATCTAGTTCATAATGTTGTGTCACAACACTATAATTACATTTAAAAATATTTATATCCAATATGGCAGATCCAATATGGCTGATCCAAGATGGTGGCCCAAAAAGCGTCCCCTATTGAAATTAAGTACGGACCATCCAAAAAAATTTCGGTCGTGGTTCCAAGTCAATATCTCGAAAAATGTGGTATCTTTTGTTGCAAAATTTGTCCAATATTGGGAAGAGCCGCCATTTTTTCCTTAATTTAGGGGTTTCACCTGGACTGATTTGTTGCAACTTTTGGTATGTCACTCTGCACACCACAACAATAAAAATAAAACCATAAAATGTTTACTTGCAAATTTTTATACGATTCCTGTGTACGTTATTTTTATTTTGCTTGGACTATTACATTAATTTATAAAAAATATTTTTCTTTGAAATATTTTATTATTTCTACGGGGTTTATTTTTGTTGTAGGTACATGTATTTGGCATCATTTCAAAGGTAATTTCAGGAGGAACATTAAATGTATTGACGACTTTTCACCAATATTGACTGGAAAGTCAGAATTTCAATAAAAAGCAAAAAAACTACTGGATTTGGCCGCCATTTTGGAAAAATGGTGGTGTTCCACCAAAGATATTTTTGGAGACTTTTGATATGTTATTCACAATACTTTTCACTATCGAACAACAATGGTTTCATCTGTGTTCTAATTATTTCTAGGTCAAACCATATATTCAGGGGCCTACAAGCTTTGCGTATGCAATGGGGGAGGACAGTTTGATAAAATTTGCTTCTTTAAATTTACAGTTTACATAAACATAGCCATAATGTTCTACCACTTCACCTAAACAATAGAGAAAAATAAATTAAAAAAATTCACAAAATATCACAAATTACTCATGAAATTAAAAACATAAACATAAGCCCGAAAGGATTTTTGAGATACGAATATGCCTATATGTTAATCGGGAATGTGAGCTATCATCATGCCAAAATTGAGCCCAATCTGTCCAGTAGTTAATGCGTGATTGAACTTCAAACAAACACACAAACTTTCACATTTAATATTAGTAAGATAAGATATTTTGATATTTATTTTTACTTCTTGTTAATTGAAAAATTGAGAACTATTTCAACACTTTTAATAATATAGTAAAGCGCACATTAAACAGTGTTTATTATTAAAATAAGATAAAACATCTAGATGAAACCTGTAATTCTAAACAAAAACACCTGTGGAGAGGGTTGGAAGCTTTGAAGGTCATTGTTAGAGCTTGTTAATTTTTATTTTTCTAATAAAGAAAAATATTCTTTAACAATAATAAAAGCAGAGAAATTTAACAAAACAATAATGGTGATACTATTTTTATTTAGAATCACCACCAACGGGACAGATATTGCTTTCCACACCAATATAGAAATATCCATGGACGATTCATTCACGATGAGAGACTTTATTTTTAATGTCAGCATAACTACTGCTGAAGTAAGTAAACATCTATTATAATCATTAAAAAGAAGTCATCACAGTTTTATAAGTATTGGCTTTCACAGACATTTTGTTTTGATTTTTTATTGTTAACTAACCTGAGCTTTTCAACGGGGTCAGGATGCGGAGCAGACAATGTTGGTTCTTTGAAAATGCCATAAATGGTTTCACATCCACCATCTAATTTAAAAACGAAAATTCAACTGTAACACTTATCTTATTAAGTCTGTTTCTGTTAGTTTAGGTAAACACCTTTTTAGGCTCCCTGGAATAATAAAGTGATGCCGATGCACCTATGAAAATATTGTTAGACTTGTGTGATTTTGTGTTAACAGGTACGCCTGCTTATAAGCGTATTTATTTACATTTAAAAAATCAATATTGGAAGTCAATTGTTAGGAAAAACAAATTTTACAACTAAGGGTTACTGTAGTGTATGGAAAAAACATCATTGATTGTTATTAGTGGCACATAATAGCTTTAGAAACAAATAACGCTAACGCTTTGATTTAAAAAAGGCCCCTTGCCTGCAGCTTATAAATATTTGAGCTATCATTAATTATTGATATTTCACAGTGAGCAAAAAGAAGGAATATTCTGATTTTCACTACTAGTAACTTACCATTAGTTTATGAAACCTAGCATCATTGTAAATTTCACAAATTTTATTGTGTAAATATTTTAAGGACAAATAAACATACAAATAGCTTGTTTAATTTTGCAACTTTTATCGGTAAGTGACATTTTGCCCGTTCCACATACCCATTGATTACTCGGTACATACAGTATAGTAAATGTTTCAAGGCACTTACTCATTTACACTCCTACCAATGATTATAGTAAAAACAAACATTAACACAATTACCGATGGTTTTAGAAACAAAAGTCAACTGCAAACAACTTAGTTTGAAAACAACCTTTGGTTTGATCATTGACTATTGGATACCTGCAGAAAGTACTTGCCAGTTGCACTTACCACTTATCATGAAACTACCCCTATTTTTTATTAACTTGTTACAGGACATAAGTTTCCCCGTTGACCAGGTAAGTATGCAGCAAGTTCAACTGGCAACTAATTGCTGCCAGCAACTTACTGTCTTTACTTTCCTCATCCATTATAAGCCGCTTCATGGTAAAATTCTTGGAGGTTGTCAGTTTTTATTATTTTCTAGCTAACAATGACCAATCTGCTAAACGGAGATCCATCGGCTAATAATCTCACAGACTACGTAAGCAAGTTGATGCCTGCTGAAGTGGCAACTATGAATGACATGTTCCAACAGACTGTGAACAGCTCTGTAGTACATTTTACTAATGACTACATCGCTTCAATCATGTCTTGGAGGGAAATTGTTGATTTTGTATACATCTTGGCTGAGATTTAATTAAACATTGTGATTTTCTTACAATCTTCAATTTTGTTTAAGGGAGTGAAGTAGGGTTCTTGTGAGTACCTACTATTCTGAAGGTTGAACACATCAAATCTCTAAATGATTGAGTACACTGAAAAGTTTATTGATCCTTTAGATAAAATTGGCAATCTGATCACAAATTATGTTTGTATTTATTGTATCCTAAGTGTAAAGTTTGTATCAATATATTGCTATTATAAACATACTGAACAACAGTACAACTTAAATATTTATTTATCCTAATGTTTAAGACAATTTCAAAATGTACATTTTAATTAATCCATTGTTTTAGACTCCTAGAAATTCCTAAAAATAAAAATACATGGCTCAAACTCTGTGACTGAAAAAAAAGTCATTGAAGATGTAATGTAATATCAGGCTGGGTTTAAATTTTATATTTAAAAATTTGGTTTTTCTTTTCTGAGTTTGTTTGGCTCTTCTACCTAACCGATTATCATGATTGAGGTTTCAAATTGAAGGTATGCACTCACAGATTTCACATTAAGCATAGCCATATTTTTCTTTCGTTCTTTATTTTGCTTTTATCAAATTATCAATATCTTTTGGCATGAGTATTTCTGGCTGTACCTCTAAGTAAAATTTGGATAGAATTCTTACTCTTCAAAAAAGAGCAATCAAAATAATCAATTATGTTAAATTTAGAATGGGACACTTCTGCTCGTCAATATTTTTCAAAAATGGGAATAATGACTGTGTATAGTATTTAGGCTTTTCATACAATTTTACTCCAAAAATACTATCTAATGCTAATTTGGTCCCAAGACTTGTTGATAGTTATAATTATTTTACCAAGAACAGAAATGAAATTGCTGTCAGTGTCCATAATTTGAAGAAAAAAAACCACCTGTGCAAGGAAAAGGTTTTTGGACAAACTCCCAGCTGAGTTGAGGAATATTAATAACATTTCCAAATAAACTTGAACATTTGTTAACTGATAAAACACTTTGGCCCGATTTCACCAAATTCTCGCTAACGATGGTTTAGTTAAACTTCGGTTAAAACTAACCGATGATTTAAACCACAGTTAAGGAAATCTGGTTTCACCAACGAAAACGCGTCAAAACTAACGCTGGTTTTATAAACGAGAGTTTAGAGTAAAATCCAGGTGGCAGTGGCAGTGAACTGTCATAATACCGGGCTGTTACGGGAGCAAGTAAACATAACCTAGAAAATAAATCAGTGTTTATGAGGTAGTGAAAACAAAACTGGAGACAGCAAGCTTACAGGAATACAATAGATTCTGAGCAAAATAACAACAGAAAGCAAGAATAAATACCAAAACAATTAACATAAGTAAATAAAGGCAAACCAATGTTGATCAAACATATTCGAGGAACAAATTGGTTGAGTTTTGCGGTCGAGTCAAGACTCATCAATCCAACTTTTTACAGGGATGTTCAATATTCTGTTTGTTCACTAACCAGTTTGGTACATTTGAAGTAGTGAAAAAAACTGGAGTCAAAAGAATTATAAGAACGAGACACAATGTAGATAACACAAAAATAATTATTTTCTATACGATACTAGCAGAATAATGTCAATTTAGGTTTAGATTTTGGTTTACTTACGTCTGACCGAACGCAAAACAATTGTTTGAACGTTGGGTTAGGGTTACCCAAAGCCGGGAGAAGGAAAGGGAGCATATTTTTTCGAACAATGAATTAATAAATTTGATAATGTTGGTAGAAGAGCCGGGACACTTTTTAGCCGGGATAAAAGAGTACGGCTCTTGATCGCCAATCAGTTAAATGCAGTCGCTGATCGCAGATATACGCCTTAACTAAAAGCCTTTTGGGATAACCTAAAGCAAAGCACTATGTGGAATAGCCTAAACACAAACCACTACAGTGATTTGTATTCATTTCCTAAAGAAAAAGGCTAAACGTTTTGATAGTTTATCTAATAATAAAAAAAAATCAATTTCATCTTTGTTATTAAAATTATTTACCCTTTCTCTTATCCACCTAGTTAGGCAAACAACATAGGTTACCCTTAATTGCCATGACTTACTTTCAAAAGCTAATTCGTACCGTATTCTCTTCTACCATTTCGCCTTTCCATATAAACTTTAAACTTAAAGCCAGCTGATATTTACTTAACGAAAGATTAAAGAAGTTAACCGGTCAAAATTGGTCAGTTAATTATCTAACGACGGTTTAGTCTAAACTAGCGCTAACGGCGAGTGGTGAAATCCGATTTCGTCAGTTAAGAGCTAACTGCAGTTAGAGCAAGGCTTAACGGCGGTTTAAAAGTTTGGTGAAATCGGGCCTTAGTGGTTTCGATTTCGATGTAGGTTAGATTGATTGTTTTTAGTTCACATACTCCATTCAATGTATGTGACTGTATACCATATGAATAAAGATATTTTTTTACATTTCATTCATATATTCCATTCATTTATATATTCATTTCATATATTCATATATTAAGTCCCTCTCGGCTTATATGTAAACAAAATTTTTTCCCAATGGATCTAACTTATAGGAGTTTATAATCCTTAACATCGTCTTATAAATTTTAATTTATCTCCAGTTTGAATGTTTCATGTGGTTCATGTGTGTGTCCAGTTTCAAGGCAAAGAAGTTTTGTTTTGGTCTTGAAATCATTAAATTCTGGGCTTCCACATGAGACGTTAATCATCTGAATAGGACAAGTTTAAGGTGATTCATAAGCCTCCAATAAAAAAATTGGAATTTTTCTGAAATTTGAATACAGTTTAAGATCTGTACATCAAGTTCTAATTGTGATAGTTAAATGTTTTGCAGGCTATCTATGCAACTATCTCATTTCAGCATTACTAATCATCCAAAAAATTAATGTGATCTATACAAGTTTTTTTAGTATAAATTTCCCAGACTTAACATTAATTTTAAAAATTTTACCTGACTTTCCCAGACTTTCCAGGTCCGTGGGAACCCTGTTGTTTATGTTTCAAACTGACATTCAAATAAATGATTTACAAAACCTTGAGTAGCCTAGATCAGTTTATTCTCTAAATATCACGAATTTGAAATGTGTACAATTGTAATGATAATCCTCACTAAAAATTTCAATTATAATTCAAAACTGAAAAACAACGGCTTATGTGCTGTATTTATTGTTAATGAGATAATTTAAAGGAGGCCTAAACGGAAAAATAAAGACAATTTTACGAACATAGAACGTTATATTTAGAAAAACTGATTAATAATTTAAATGAAAGCGAAAAAAGAGCTTAAACTATCATTTCCAACTCCCGGGCGTACTCAATCACTTGTTCTATGAGCTCCACAGAGGGCAGAGCTTCATCTGACTTCTTTTCTTCTACTCCAAACTTGAAATAGTTGTCCTTACCCAAGGTCCAGCTTTTCTGAAAATGAAGTAAACCGTTTAAGAAGAGTGTGTTTTACAGTAACTGTTGACTGAAATCATGATCTGGTTAGATAATCTAAGTTTTAATAAGACTGCGATAGAAAAGCACAAGTGTTTGATGATGAAAATTAGAGCTTACCTTGTTTCCGTATTCTTTGATGGCCGCCTGGTTGGGAAGGTTGAGCATCCTCGTAGCATCATGGGTGGAGATCTTCCTGTACGCCTTCTCCAGGCAGTTGGCGATTTCATCCCTCACTGTCTCGAGGAGAATGTCAATGAAGAAGTTGTAACTCTCCGCAGGTACGTTGCCTTTAGCCAAGAATATCTGTAATCAAAATTGATGCTGTAGGCCTATGTAAGACATTCATTCCATAACTAGTGGGTCATTTAAAATTTTAATAAAAAATTAACATACAAAATTGATGGTAAAAGAAAATAAGGGGTTCACAAAAAAGTTTACAATGAGTGGGGAATGAATTTAGTAATGAAAGCTTTAGGCTAAGCCCATTACAATAGTTCTAAAGGTTCAGGTGTTATAATTTATTGCATGGATCTTTATCTCAGGTGGGGTTCAAAATAAAGACAAAAATTAACAATTAATATCATATAATTGATTAGTAACAATTAATTAATAACATAAAAATTGGATTAATTTCTAGAATATCACCTGAAAAAAAACATAAAAAAAAATCTTTGTTAGAAATTGGTACACAAATTTTATGAACGGCATTTGAATTTAATCTTGTGATTTTATATAGCGTAATAAAAATGTTGTTTGAAATATAAAATAGGTTCAAATTATAGATTGGTTGAATTAATTAAAGTTCTGAATATTAAGCTTCTATTAGTTTCTTGACTTTGAATTTGAGCACAAACGTCCAAAGGTTAGGCCTAAAAATGTTTTAATGGCTTCCAAAGGGGAAATGTCTATTGGAGTGATCTCACCAAATTGATGTCTTCTTCGCAGCAAAATTTCTTGATGTTGTAACTTAATTATTAATGTTTGTAATAAGGACGGTTCTTTTTCAATCAAATTTCACTAATTTAGGTTCAAATTTAGGCACTTTTTTATAAATTTTGATATTAAAATAGGTAGTATCCAATTTACATCTTCACACTAGCTCAGTTCTCTTGAAAGTAATGCAGGTTTGATGCATTGTTGCACTCACATAATGTTAATGCTGACTTAATCACATAAAATTGTAGGCCACTGTTCACACATATATATTATAACAAATTTCATTTGCTATAGAGCTAAATTATAATTTTGAAAAGTTATTTAAATAAAATTATATTGAATTTGAAGCAATTTTGTTACAAAAAGTTATAGGCTATAATATATTTACATGAAATTATGTTATTTGAAAATTTCTATATTATATTGTGTCGAATCAATTACCTATTGGTCTGTTTGGTCATATATTATACAAGGTTTAAAAAAGGGATTGACATTTAGATAAAATGAAAAACATATGGTGAAAGTTAAATTATCTATGAAAAATATAAGTGGAAATATTGAGTTGTTACACTCGAGCAAAAATTATCTGATTTTTAAGAAATTTTATACAAACAAGTAAACCTACATTTATTTGAACGAGTTCTCAAACCAGCATGATTGGACTATGGGAACGGGGGTTTATGGAGGGTTTTATAGGGTAAAATAGTATTGAGTTGATTAGAATTAACCAACGAAGTCAGTCAGTTTCCAACATGATAGAGGTTCTAAATAATGATTCCAAATCCTACCTACTTGCTTTGTCAAAAACTCAAATAAAACCTTCACAAACCAGGATGTAGGCAAAAAAAACTCAAAAAAAAAAAAAAAAAAAAGTCTCAAATCATATTGACAACGAATTGAGTATTACCGCAAAACACATGAAATAGGTGACTGAACTCATACATCCAATTTATTGCAGCAGTAAAAACTAGCCTAAACTCAAAGCAATTTACAAGTATATCTAGCCCATCACTAGTATAGAAACAAACGTGTTGTGAATTGTATCAGTTAGAGAGGTGTGCGTTGTCTTTGCTAGTGGTTAGCACTACCTTATTGTAGCTGCCCTCCATGAGATACTGTTCCAGAGACACGGGGTGCCGGATGTAAGGGTTGGTTTGTATCTGCTCGGCAGGTAACAGCTCAAGCTCAGTGTGAAACTCTGCAACTCGGTTTTGACTCAGCAGGAGCAGCAGGTTCAAACCCAACAGCTGGTACTTGAAGGCAGACTCTGGCAGCTGACAAAGACAAACATTAACATAGTTTGTAAATTTGTAATTTTTAATAGCGTTTAATAGCGTTTATTTTTGTAGCGTATCCGTGAGTGATTTTTAGTGCATCTTACAACATATCTTCAATAAGGTCATCAAAGGTAATGGTGAATGTTTACTTAACTATTGGTTTTAATAGACTCAACTTTAGTCAACTTATGTAGGTTTATTTAAGATATTACAGAAACATGTTTTTCTCTATTTGCAACGGAAAAATTCTGCATTTATTTTTTGTGGGTAACATTTTCTTAAAGGTACTACCAGTTAACACGTTCGCTTCCGAGCGACACACATTTGAGTCGTTGTGATTTGCTCATTTAGAATCGTTTGAAGGTAAAATTTCAAATAAATAAATACTGTTTTGGTATAAACTAAAAAGTTTAGCACGTTTACATCTGTTCAGTGATGCCGCGGAAAAGAAAATGTGGAAAAGACAACAATGTGTGTGACAAACCAATTGTCACACCCATTGATAAGGCAACGCACAAGTGCGGCAGATATCCCTCTGGACCAATACGAAGAGATCAGGACTTTAAAATAGACCGTTGCTAAGGAATACGCTGTTTAATAACAATGGAACACCGACGCAAGTGTGCATTGTCAGTTTATTTCCATATGACCAGCTGACGCAAGTATGCGTCGGTGGTCTACTGTTAGAAACGATTCCACGCACAAATGCGTCACTGGTCTATGTGAATGAAAATTCCATATCATTGTGGTAGCGAACGTGTTATATAATGCTTTGTTTGATTGGAGAAGGATACACAATAACCGTGGGTCCAAATTTTCTTCATTAGAAAAATGTTACTTTTGTTGATAAACTAACGAAAATCGTTCCATCAAAATTATATAAATTGAACTAGATGTAACTGGTTTGATTTGATATTTTTACAGTAGGTACTGTACTTATTTTTGAATCTTTGTATTACAGGTTTCACTTGCACATACCTGATCCCTATAATCTAAATAGTAGCATTTTAACTGTGCCATGTAGCGTTCAAAAGATGGGATGTCTTTCACAGCTATACTGTACTGAGCTCCAATTTCTAGAATATCACCTGAAAAAAACATAAAAAAAAATCTTTGTTAGAAATTGGTACACAAATTTTATTGTGGAAGTGGAAACTTGTCTGATGCCCTAATAAGAACACTAACTGTATTGAAAATGTATAATGGGTAGACAAGGATACATCTGTAAAATCTTATTGGTGAATGAAACTTTAAAAAATACTTTTGGCCACATGTGGGTAAAATTCCTAACTAGGCAGATTCCTGCATAGGTCTGTGTTCAGAGAGCTTTATGAAACCGTTTCAGTTCAAACATAAAATGTAAAAATACTTACGGGCCAACAGCAATTCCTGCTGAGAAGCCTTCGAGTTTGATGTTGGGAGAAACATTAAACTGGTCAAGCCAACCTGAAAAAAATACAAATAAATTTCTTTCTTTGAACAATTTTGACCTACTCACTACAACAATAAGTTACAATACAACTCGATTTCTACAGGCAATAGCATTTCTTGACAATCATGTGTACGTAGCAAAATCAATTATTTTCAAACGCAAGCAGACATTGAAGATAACCAGCACTCATCATCATCATTATCATAAGAATAATGAGAATTGGAAGAAATAATGACTGATGACTGTAAAGCCAATCTCTACTGATAAGTTAAATGAATTGGATGAATATGCTAACTTAGATGTGAATTCTTAGGTACTTAGGTAATTAAAAGCCTAATTTAGTTTAAATATCATAGAATAATTACATATAGGGAATGCTATAGGTTGAACTCATTGTTATTATCAATTGAGAAGGGGACGCTACCTAGGTGCGTATTTTAACCAAAATTTAAGAGCGAAGAATTAGTGTAGATGGTGAGATAAACTGTGTAGCGTTGCTATTGTTAATGACTAAGATCAGCTGTTTAATTAGCCAGAACCATTTATTTAAAGTTCAATGATTAGGGACAGCTAGGTGCAGTTTCAAATCATCAAAAAGCTTCTGACTTTTTTCAGTATTAATCTGGAAACCTTTTGATTGTTAGACGATCACTATTACCACTCAGCTGCCCAGCCAGTTTTAGAGATTAGGCCTGCTGGCTGTACCTTGTAAGGGGTTTGCTTAGATTGTGCTCATTTGATTTATATTTCAATGGCAGCCACCAAATTACAAAGAATTATATAAGATAAGGCATACAAGCGACAAGATGTAGAAGAACTTATGGATGCCTAAGAAGTTGAATGAAGAAGCATGATGATGAGATTACAATGACATAGTGCTTCGCATATGATGTGAAGTAGCCTACATTATAATTAGAGAAGTAACAATATAAAATAGACTAACGACAATATAAACTAACAACTGTGCAAACAACAACAATACAAATTTACCACAGATATGACTAGAACAACAGTGTAAATAAACAAAGCTAACAACAATAACATCAGTCATTCATTCAAAGTGTTGCAGGTAGACAACCAATATTTGAAAATAAAATGCAATTAGGCTACTTACCAACTAGGCATAAATACATTTTAGACCATTGGATTAGTAATGAAAGGAATCAAAAGACTTTAAAACTTAGGGCCTAGGCCAACAAAACAAAGAACAACTGGATTGCGCTCTCAGTGGTACTGCGGGCACTGTTTTCGGTCTAACTCTCCGGTTTAGCCCTCCGTGGGTCACGCTTCTAAAAATAGACGCACAACACACTTTGTGTAGTGTCACGCGTCTATTTTTAGACGCACAAACATCGTTTACGGCGAAGGCTCTATGACTGACTGAATCGGATTGAACTGGATCGAGTTAGGTATCGTTCTTTTCAATAGATTCTAAGCTTTCTAAATGTCTGTCTCTAAGCGCTGTTTGTTCTCTGAGCCGATCGTAATTGTAGCAGACAGCTGACGTGCATATTAGTAAACAGGGTAGTTAACCTAGGACCGATGACTGATGTGTTTTATTATGTTTATCATTGTTTTAGTGTTAAAAATCAAAAGTAGTGATATACGTGGTGCATTATAAGAAGATTTAAGTGGTTTTGAAGTGCTGGTTGATGATCCTGAAGAAGTAGGTAGTGATATTGATGTAAATTATCATACCAGATTCCTAGCTATGGTTAGGCTATGCATTCTTAGCTAAACGCTATGTACTGAAATCCGTTTTTCGCTCATAACTTATTTATTTGATAACTTACCTAGCTATATGATTATATATTTGTAATCCTCATTAAATTTAGAACAAAGTGGCTATTTTCAAATATTTATAGGCCTATAATTTATACAATTTCATTGAGCGCGAACTTTTTTTTTTTTGAAAATTTTCGAAATTATATTTTTTTTTACCTAAATTTTTTTTTTTTTTTAATGTTCCTTATGTTTTATATATAATATTGAAGCCCATGATTTTCCAAACAAAATGGTATATAGAACATTAGAATTAACATTGTTTTAAGCTTCTCAGATCCGTTTTAATAAAACCTTGCAAATGCGCCAAAAATAGGTGGACATTAAGGCCTAAACTATGGACCTTTGGAGGGTTAGAAATTACATACTAAAATGGTGCTATTCTAACATAACCTAACCTAACCAAACCTCTAGAATGTGTAAGCAAACTCCTTTTGATGTCAGAAAAGGTATGTCAGGGTGATAGGTCGTGCTTTATGTGAATTGGTGACTGCATTAAGTCCTTTGAAGGTAGGTTAGATTAGGTAAGTTAAAGTTTAGGTTATAATGTATCAAGTTGTTAGTTTATGCTACCAGCAGACTATTTTTGGAAAATTAAAATCCAGAAAAAACACTTCAAATTACTATTTCAAAAATGCAAGTATTTTTGAAAAAGTAATTTGAAGTGTTTTTCTCAGGATTTTAATTTTACAAAAACAGTCTGCAGGCAGCATAAACTAACAACTTGATACATTATAACCTAAACTTTACCTTCCTAATCTAACCTAACTTCAAAACACTTAATGCAGTTACCAATTCACATACAGCACGACCTACCACCCTGACATGCCTAAATAAGAACTACAAGTAATTAGTCCACCAGTCCATCTATACAGTCCACTCTTGGTAATTCAAACACTTGATAATTCAAAACTTTCGATAATTCAAAATGAAGGCTCAGTCCCTAGAGAATCTCTCAATATTTCAAATTTTTACCATGCATTTTGATACACTCGGTATTTCAAAGTCCAAATAGAGGGCAGGTCAATTTGTAACACGCAGTAATTCAAAGTTTCGTCGGAAAAACACTCTATAATTCGAAGTTTCGTTGGTTAACACTCTATAATTTGAAGTCATGCTGTAATTCGAAGTTTCGTCGGAAAAACACTCTATAAATCAAAGTCAAGCAGTAATTCGAAGTTGGCAAAACACTCTATAATTTGAAGTGATCTCTTCCTGTTATAACAGGAAACTATACAGTACAGTACATCCTGTTCCCATGGTAGGCTAGTGTTGGACGTTTTGATGTTTAACAGTAGTCTGAGTTAGTTCGCTGACTTGTTTTTCTAAGTTGGCAATCCGATCTCTAGATTGCGCGACATCTCCTTGAGCACAAACGTAGTTGTCGACAGCTGATAGTTCAGCTATTGGCCAAATATATAGCGCTAAATAACAGATTTCTTTGCAACTACAGTAACTGAAAAATAAGCCGTTGATTGTTTAAAAGTGTACTAAAATACGGTATGATGTTTTATTGCAACGTGCTGTACCTTTGTATGTATTAAACAAATTAACTGTCTGTAATTCGAATGGTTTATTTTTCTCCCGATAAATCGAACTCTTGATATTTCAAAACTCTTGATAATTCAAATTTACATGCTTGGCCCACCAATTTCGAATTATCAAGAGTCTACTGTATCTCCATAATGTGACGAAATTCCTATTATAGAGAACATTAAGTTATTTGACTACAGAATCACTTGAAATGTTATCCATCCTATCTTGTCCTATTGTAATGTTAAGCATGTTTTTACGGCGATATCTTGAGAAATATTTATCAGCAGTGAAAAATAATGGTATATTTGGATTCAGGAGGTAAAAAACTATAAAGTAAGATATCAAAATTAACAATTTGTTTGGAGGCACCTATACGAAATAAATACCAATTAGACAAACTGTAGGCTTGAGCCTATTTGTTATATCCTGGGACATAGCTAATTCTTTCGATCCTGAGAAAAGAGTATAGCTTCATGATGGTTCAAATCTTGATCCAGCGGTACTTTCCTGTTAAAGGGAACAGTCATTACTAAGTTATAGGCTTGATTATTTATTTTTGATATATTGATATTTTTGTTTTACTTCACAATCCTTCTGTATTCCTTCTGTTTTAATACCTTCAAACGCATTTAAATTACAAATTAAGAACTAACCTTCTTCAGGCAAAGATAATAGCCCATAGGCCTATATTGGATTAGTAAGTTAGGGGATTAAACTATTCTAAACTAACCTAACATAAGTAGGCCTAGGGCCTAACCAAACTTGCTGTAGGCTAGTTAAGTTTACTGTTTAAAAATTCGTTTGATAACATATTGCATGTGGGGAATAGGCTATCAAACGGAATGTTGAAATGTTACAGCAAGTTTGGTTTGTTAGGTTAGTTTAGAACAGTTTTAGACATAGACATTTTACATAGCCTACAATGACTTGCATTTTTTAGAGTAGGCTATAACTTAGGCTAACTTGTGCCTAGTCAAGCGATAAGTCCACTGAGGAAATAACATTGGTTGTTTAAACTAATTTAGAGATTTAATTTTCAAGGCCGTTACAAATTTACTCCTAAAATTACTTTAATTCTGTAATAAAAACATAACCTCGACCTCTGAGGAATAGGCCTATACGTGATTATCCATAAATGCGATTTGGCCTAAGGCAATTAATTTGTAAAAACTCACTTTAAGTTTGGATAATAACTGCCCACACGCCTCAAGATTTTGTGGTTTCTTCGTCCATTCTGCTTTTAATTTTTGATAAAGCGCCACAACTTCTTTGACAGCGGCCATTCTCTCCTTTCTCACCACTTCAGTCACTTCACTTCACTCACTCTTCACTTCTTCTTCTTCACTTCACTTCGACTTCAGTCGTTCTCGCTCTACTTCTCAGTTCCTTCGTTTGTTTCTTGTTTACTCTACAACAACCACAGCAACAGTCTAGTCTACTCCAACTAAACTCAGTCAGTAGCGAGTAGCAGTACTTAACTCACTCACTCCAAAAATTGCTCAATGCTCACTCACTCACTCACTGTCTAGTGTCTGCCAGCGCCACATGCCATGTGCTTGCAATGTTATGTTTTGTTGTGGTTGTGATAATTTTTGGGCTAAGTTAGGTTATAGTGGTTATAGCAACAGTAATAAATTAAAAACTTTTCTGCGGTTTTACTTTTTAACCATATTGCAAATACTTTTTTCCATGATGAAGTTTTTTATTTGTCAAAATTGTGAGGAAATTATGACGGTCACAAAATAAATACTAAAATTATTGTCTATATCAAAACTAACCTCTTTTAGTAGGTGTAGCTTATGGTGATCTGCATGAATTTGAATAGTGATGATTGTTAATCTTTGATGGTATAGATATATCGAAGTCAAAACTTCAATTATGGTAAGTAGTCCTACTTCGTAAAATATACAATACGATAAGTCATAAGTCTTTATTGCCATTAAATAGCCTACAATAACTAGGCTCGTCATTTAAATAAATAAAACATGCAAAATCAAATCTATCAACAATTAAAATAAGCTCAAGTCAGTAAGCTCAAGTACGATACCGGTATAGATCTATCTACCGATGGGGGGCCGAGAGTTTATAATATAGGGGTAGACTTCTGTAAGTTATCTGTTGGCACAAACAACAGAATGAATGAAAATATTGATTATTCGATTGTTTCATTCAAAATATCGTTTGGTTAGTTAGGTTAACCTTACCGAACCAACCAAACGATATATCGAATAATCGATATATCTATCGATATTTTCATTCGGTTGTTTGTGCCAACAGATACAAAAGTCTACCCTTTTTGGCTGCTGACAAGGCAAAACGTTGCCTAGGTGGCTAGAATAGTTGTGAGCAAAGTAAAGAAGGCGTCGCTAATGTCAGATTTGAACTAATAACCTTATCTCTCACAATTACTTAGGATTAACAAGTCTTCTCCTTGTTAAACATCCCAAATTCACTACTGTAGTATAAATTAAGTTATTTTAATCACTCTTAGTGCCCCCTCCTGTTGCTAACACACTTGTTGCCTCGACCAACGACCTGTCGCCCTTGACAGCACTAACACCTAAACTTAGACGGTTTGCTCGTCACACCAATTCACTCTGCAACAGTATCGGTAATCAAAAATTGGAACAGTATATTAAACCTTTTATTTAATTTTAAATATATTTAACTCCTAAAACTGAAGTCATGCAAGGTTTGTAATTCTAGACTATGACTTCCACTCCTGAAGTAATCCAAGATTACACCAAGGTTATGAGAGGTCTTTTGTGAAGGTAAAGGGTCCAGTTTTTTAGAGAATAAGTTATGTACGGAGCCCCGCCTAGACAGCTTAGACCCACTGCCTCCCCACATAGGCCTATCCTCAAAAACATAACAAAATGGATTCTAGAACATAGCCTAGCAATCTCTGTAAAACTTTGTGGTTTGTTATCTCAACTTGTTAATTTTTTTTTTTAGTCAACTGTGTTAATTTGTTATTGTCTAGTGTAAAGTTATATGAGTGTGACAGTGGTACTGTACATAAATCTGTTTAGGATGACAAAGGAAGGTCGCTTGAGCATCTGGCACAACAAGTAAAGAGGATTGCTCTTGTTGAAGTACAAAAATGTTTTCTTGCTGGAAAAATAGATCTTGGAGCAAACCTTATGTCACAATGGGAGCAGTATCTTGAGCTTTCAAAGATCGGTAAGAAATATTTTTGTTCTAGTTAATTTAAGACATACCAATCATTTTTTACTTTATATGAAATAGTTTGCTTCCCTTGGTTGTATTTTTACTTGATACAGTAGGCCTATTTTTTAATGGAAATGTGAGCAGGTGGAATCACATGAACCTTGTGACTTAGGCGTAGGTTGATTATTGAAGTTAGTTTCATGACACCAGGTGTCATTTTGAGGGTGAGGATCTCTTCAGAATAGTCTCTACGAGAGAGTTTGCAGGTTAGAGGCCCCAATTCTTTCACAGATTTCCTTCAAATTTTGTGAGAAGTTTCTCTTCCGAAGTCTCACTTTGGAGTTTGCAAGCCAACATTAATAAACCAACCTAATAGGCTAGCCTATATGCTTCTGTGATTTGGGGGCAAAAAATATACCAGAAATAAAATAATTTCAAGCTTTTAAGCAACCTAATAAGACAAAATGATATTTTTACTTCGTTTTAGAATGTTTTGATATGATGTACGTTTTAAAAATGTACGTATTAGTCTAGGACAGGTTTGAAATAGAGTTTAACTCTTAAAAACAATCATATTACAGATGCTTATGCTGAGATTGAATAAACTTAAAATACCTATGTACTGGTAGGCCCTACATCACAAATTATATAGAACATAATATTTCTTTTCAGAACCTGTAGATATTCAAGGCCATGAAACTTTATCTGTTACTCTAAAACGTTTGAGTAAACGACTGCGGGCATTGCAGAATGTTTTGAACGGCCTCCCAAAACAGCAATGCGTCAGCGAACTTCAAGAGAAAGCAAACACTTTGGAGGAAAGGTTTGCCTCAACTAAAGTGGGTGTAGGAGGAGGAACGTTTGAATGGGTTGACAGTGTTTTAGTAAAGGTATGGAAAATACAAGTTTGCATTATATTAAATACTTTTCCTGATTTTAAATTATTATATTGACTAAAATAAAAATCTTGAAAATGCCTTTTATAAATTACAGATAATGCTTATAGAAGCTAGGCCTATATCTTGTTGCAAAATAATATTGAAACACACATAAAAATATTGCACATCAGAGTCCTGCTCTGAACTTCTCTAACCCAAACTACCTGTTTGGGGAAAGGCTAAGTTAAAAAACAAAGCACTAGGCCTATGTGTTCTGGTGTACTAACCAGTGTGTCGAGCCGACCAGGAAACCAAGAGTATTTTAAAAGCTGTTTTGTTGATTCTGAAGTGAAAGGTAAAACTCACACCACAGTTAAACATAGATACTTTATTAGCCAAGATCCCAAAAGTAAGTCTTCAAGCTCAAAACAACAATACAATCAAAACAAACATCAAATATGCAACATATGATAACAATTATAAAAATTCCAAACAGCACATCTTCTCTTTTCTCTTTTTTTAGTTTATTTATAAAAATCTGAATCACTGTATCTAAGAGGTGGTTTTACACTTCTTTTAGGTCTGTCATTTTCATTGCTATTGTAATTATGTCCAGCATCAGTTTCAGTTCCTTGGTCTTCTTGGTATTGGTGTTCAAATCTATTTTCACCATTTTCAATAGGCCTATGCACAGCTATTATATGTCTCCTGTTCCTTCTGATCTTCCCTGCCTGTGTATTTATCAGGTAGGACCGAGGATGATTTGATTTATTCTCAACATGTCCATAACGTTTTAAATCTGGAATCCAAACTTTGTCATTTTGATCAAGCTGTGAGAGATCTCTTACACCTTTCCTTACATCGTAGTTTCTCTTATTTCTTTCCTTGATTGAAAAATCCTTCTCTTTAAACTTTTGCAATCGTTCCCTTGTTACCTGTCTGAAGTTATTTATTGACGGTAATGTTGATCGGAGCTTCCGTGAATAAAGTAACTCTGCAGGTGAAAGACCAGACTCTAAGGATGTATTTCTATATTCTAACAACCCAAGGTTTGGGTCACTACATTTCGTTAGAATCCGCTTCGCTATGTCAACTGCTTTTTCTGCTTCTCCATTTGATTGTGGATACCTTGGGCTTGATGTCACTATACGGAAACCATATTCTTCAGCAAAATCTTTAAAATCCTGAGAAGTAAATTGCGGACCTCCATCAGCTCTTCCCACATATGGCACTCCATGTCGAGCAAATATATTTTTCAATCTAGCAACCACAGCTCCAGTAGTCAATGCATCCACATAAACCAGTTCAAGAAATCTAGAATAGTAGTCTTGCACAACTAAATACCATTTCGCATTACATTTCAAAAGGTCAATACCTAAAGACTCCCAGGGATTTTTTGGTAGTTCAGTCAACAGTAAAGGTTCTGATTTGTTACTTCTTTGCTCCAAGCAAACTGGACAATTTGTTACAAGTGTAGCAATATCTGTTGAGCAGCCAGGCCACCACACCGATTCATACACTCGCATTCGACATTTGACAATTCCCATGTGACCTTCATTTATTTTACTCAGTATTTCCTTTCTCAACGATTTTGGAATAAACAGTCTTGTGCCTAAAAGGAGGAATCCTTTACTGATGTTTAGATCAGTCCTGTACTTCCAATACACCAAATTTTTATTCCAATTGTTATTCACAATCCAGGATTTAATTCTTCCGCATTCCTCATCAGTATCCTGAGCTTCTTTGATTTCCTTGAGCCTTTTGTCAGAACAAGTAATAGCATCTAAAATACTCTGAACAAACAAATCTTGTTCCAATATGTCTACATGTTCTTCATTTGACTTAATGGGGTTCCTAGACAAAACATCTGGTACATAAAATTCCTTTCCTTTCACATATGTTACTTAATATCTAAAACAAGCCATTCTCATTCTTAACCGCTGAAGTCTTGCCGATAAACTAGCGATTTGTTTACTTCCAAGCACCTGAACTAAAGGTTTATGGTCAGTCATAAGTTCAAACTCTGTTCCTAAAACATACTGTGAAAATCTCTCACATGCCCAAGTCAGTGCCAGTGCCTCCATTTCTATCTGAGCATAACGCATCTCTGTCGGTGATAAAGATCTCGATGCATAGGTGATTGGTTTCCACTTTCCATCCACAAATTGTTCAATCACCCCTCCCAGGCCAAATGACGAGGCATCAGCTGCAACTCTGATTTTACGATTTTTGTTGTAAGACACCAGAACTGGATTTGAAGAAATTAGGGATTTAATTTTATCC